GGTGACACCGTCTCACACGCATGGCCAGGGCTCGAATCCCGGATCGATATTCGCCCAGGGTCACCAAGCCTTCCGTCCCTCCGGGATCAATTGGTTGGTACAAGCCTCGTCTCAGAGGATAAAAACACTGACTTGTACATTTGCTGACCATCGCAAAAGTCATTGTATAGGCCACATACGCCTTCATTACGCCACTACAATTCTGAGGGGAAGCCGAATGCGGGGCGCATCCCTCAGACGAGGGTGATTAACGCCAAAAGACTTTACCCTTCTAAGACACTATTTTCTAGGCGGTTGATCCAGCGCTCCGGCGACAGATCAAGGCTCTAACGAAAGTGAACAGGCCAAAACGTCAGCCTAATCAGGTTTGGGATCTTGGTAAGGCTGAAGACAGCTCGGAAGTCTTGGCAGCACAATCTTGTCAATATTCTCTAGCTGGTTCAAGGACCGCCTACTTCTAAATTAGGCGATTTTTGAACCAACCTGGTTAATTTGAATACTCTGCTGACTTATTCCAGTTCAGAGAGATTAACCGACACCTTCGATTTATCCTCCTGAGCTGAAACAACCTTCCAATTGAGTCACTTTTCAGAAGTGGTAAATATCTGATCGATGGATCCGATCGATATCAAAAAATCCATGCTAAATTTAAGGCATGCAAATCACTCAAATGAAAGTTGGGACTTCATTCTCAGTAATATACAATAAGAACATCACTTTTCCTGCTTTACAGTTATCATACTACACTCCGCAAGCCCGTTCATTGAATTTCCAGTGCTCCTAAAAGAGTACTCGAAAACCCATATCACCACAACCCGAAATTAACGACAAAAAAGAAAAAAAGCAAAGAAAAGGTTGTCTTACATGGCGAGCGTGACGATCCTGTTGTGGATGAACAGCGATATTTTCACCATTCAGCATTGCCTCCACGTAAAGTCCCAGGATCGGCTCCGATCTCCACCATCTGAATACATAGGGAAAAGTTGAAAAGAAATGATACCTAACTTTCTGTACAAGACTGAATCACCACAAAGAAGTTAGACGTTGTAAGAAGCCGCTCAAAACTGTCATTCAAGATTGGCAGTTAGATATTAGAGAGATGAAGACAGGTACTATTTATTATTTGTATAGCCAGCTGTAGGGTCCTCTTCAAACCCATGTAAGCATTGCAGAACCGTTATACAAGCTGGTATATCAAAGAACAGACAGCCTACGCAGAATGCGTAAGAGGGGTGTGGGCACTTTTCCCGAAAATCGTCGCTCGCGATCGCGCGTAGTCGCGCGCAATGAAGGGGAAGGTTCGAATTCCCAATGGAGGATACGGTAGTCGTCTCGGAAAAAGTGCCGCTCGCGAAACGTAGCTGTAGAGTTACCAGGGGACGAAGCGATATGTATTTTGATGTCATTCAATCCCATTATTGTGATGCGCCCCGCATTCGACTTTCATTCAGAATAATGTGCTGTTTTGAATGCGTGTGTGGCCTATACAATGACTTGTGGACGCCAGCCCATGTACAAATCAGTGTTATCGATGCAGACGAGACTGAAAGCTATCTGAGCCCCAGACGATAAAGATTCTGTTCGCTCGGGCGAGTATCGATCCGGAGTTCGGACCCAAGACATGTACGTGTTATGCGCCACTTGCCGCTGTACCGCCCTAGCAGAGGCATTTAAGATCGGCTTTCAATCGATACGTCCAGGTGCTCCTGGCCCTAGCATTTACTTCCAGAAAAAAAAAGAATTTCCAAACTCAATGAAGCTTTGGCTCATCACCAAACTGATATGTTGACGAGAGCGGTCTTCAGGTGACAAACCATAAACGTAAGCAATCCTAATTATTTATTTGCTATCATTCGGATGAAAATACCCTCTCCCAAGAGACAGTTCATGATTCAGATTTCACGCCAAATTGCGTCTTTACCAAAACTATGAGCAAAGAATTTTCATCTGAAACAGAACAACAAGGTAATTGACGTTTCCACGCGCGTGTTTGTTGATTGTGACGTTCATTGCTCAGACTACCAGACTGTGACGTGAAGCTTCTCACCAGAAACCATGGGACACCAGGTTGAATTTGTTTCCCACACAGCCATGCAGTTGCACATAGTACATAGATTGTTACGTCAGTATTAGGTCACTAATCGCGAAATCTGTCCTCGAAACTCCCCATTGTCTGGTCAAAATCACCGTGTGGGTGGTGGTAACGCTGCAAAGGCATTTAACGACTTGCACCCACCTAATCACAGCAACAAACGGCGGGACAGACTTCCTGCCTACTCATGTTGGACTAACCCTGAGCTAAACCAAGTGGACTTTCACCAACTGGGTGCAGCTACTTGAGAATATAAGTGAAGAAGATAACTACTAGTAACTAAAAAGTATCTGCCATTCCACAGTTTCCAGATTTGGCTACTCCTCAGAGCGCTCAAAGAACACCTTTACAATTTCACACCAAGGTCAAGCGTGAGCATATTCCCATAATAAAAAGCGGCTAAGTGCGTCGTTTTGAATGAATATGCTGAAAAAAGCAAGTAAATGTGATTATTTTTGGCATCTATCCATTTCTTTGTTCGTTGTTCAGTATGAATAGAAATAGCATTTAAGTCCGGGGGATATCGGGACCTTCGAGCACCGTAGGAACTCAGATCCAATGGAGAATGCCAGTTTCTTCATAGGGCATGACTATTTATGAGAAAACGGAAAGGATTCCTTTCTAGGCAGCACCTTTACCCGATTCCTGATGGCCGGCTTCACATTTTAAGATGATACCGAATAGGTACTGAAGCAGAACCAGCGACATTCACTTAGAATCATGCTCAAGGACAAAACACCATTATGCAATTGTGCAGTTCCAATCTATATAACTGTAGATCGAATCTAACGAAACAGCTCCCCACCGTCCCCTAATAAAAGTCGAGTTAACAGATTGGAAGTATTCCTAAAAATAATTTTGCATTTTGATTGAAATGGTTATGTGCCTTTCAGTGTTTTTGCCCAACACTCCCAAACGTATGACGTTGGCTTCAAATTATTACTTTTCTGAATAAGGAAAAACTCGTCTGTGAAAGTAGCGATTGAGCTATGACAATTTACTAAGCTAAACTTTGCTTTGAATAGCATCGTTTGCGCTTTTGGCCCCATCTTTCGTATTCAATATGTAGTATATCAGTATTTCATAAAATTAGGAAAAAGAGTAGAAGCTTTTAAAAGATAGCGATATAATCAACAGAAATCCATTGCAAAATTTGTGTTAGTGACGCAAGAAAGAAATAGGTCGCCCTATACGTATCTTCTAAAAGTACCAGATTTCTCCCAGAATTTTCTGATAGTGTTCACGGAACGTTTTAGTGAGAGCCCTGTCTTCTTATAGGTGCATAAAATATCTGGCTATAGAAAAGTAAACGGCCTAAACAGGGTGTAATGAGGGCTTCAAAACGGGTTTGGTCGATGCAGACACTCAAAAGTGGCTGGGTTATGCCGACCTTGCTATTTCTGCACTATTCACAGGATGAGACAATAGTACGCCTAAATGAAAGACACCCAGACAGCCATCTTGTACAAACCCACTTTCCGCTACTTTTCCGAAGTGAGACCATATTTTAAAAAAAATCACTTTGAATAGATACCCCAAAATTATCATGAACCGGTCTTTACCCTTATGATGGTCGAACGTCTTCCATACTTGACACATACTCTCTCACAAATCCGAAACCAGCTATATGGTGCTGAAATCCATTGAAATTATGTCAAACATTCAGTTTTGAAGCCCTTTTAGAGTTCTGTGCCCACTTCATTCCGATGCTTCATAGTCTGACACAGAAAAGTCAAAGATGAACCTGGATTTGACTCTCCTGACATGATATGCGCAGTGATTAGTGCCTTTTTATAGCATATCTATAAAAGTTTCCAGAAAATTCCTAGAGAAATATCGACTACTGCGAGATGTAGGCAGACAACTTTTTGTCGATTCTGATACAACACGATTTTTTGGCTTCAATCCAATTCGAAATTGCACATTCGGTGACTGTATCTGTTCTATACAACAGCTTAGGGGGTGAGTGGGTTGGGGGAGGGAAAGGGGGTGAGGAACAACACAGTCTTGCTTATCCTCTTAATAATGTCAAATACAAATTAAGTCCTACACCTCGTTACGAGGGGATTTGAAAATCTTAAACAGCAAAGGATTTGGCGGCCCGTCATAATCTGAGCCACATTTAAAGTGTTTGGTGAATTTTGTGGATAATCAAAGTCACCGGCCGTAGAATGGCGTCGAGTATAACGCATTGTGCACTTTGCAACCGTAACAAGCAAAGTGGTGACTAACCATTCGCATAGAGGCAAAGAGGTACAGGGCTTTACATACAGTCGGCTTCGCTACGCTCATTTGGAGTTTCATTCAGATCGTTCATTTTACCTTTCCCGGGCGTACATTATGGTTCACAGTTAAACTATAGACGCATAACCTTCAAAATGACTTATAATTAGCCGCCATTCCGTAGATTGTTTTTGACAAGAGCCACTTCAGATCATATCTGACCTGGTTGAAGGTAGTGGTCGTACCAAATTGGATACACAACGCCAAATCTGACTCTTATCTTTGACTGAAAATTTTGAAGGACGTCTGACGAATTCATGTCAATAACGAGACCATCAACGACTGTCGCGAGTGGCGATCAAAGGCGACACTTTAGCTGCAAGCGACTAATCGATGCTCTATGCTTGAGTACAGCGATTTATTACCAAGTACTGTAAAGGTGAAAAGTTGCTGGATATAAGAACTACTTCGCCCCATAACCGACACTTCAGTGTGACCTGATTACCATGAGCGCCTAAGGTCCGTCTGGGTGACCGATTGCAGACTAACCCCTGTATATATCGGGCTAAGCTGCATATATCGGCAATAACGACTGATAACCGGTTGTAACTATTCTGATGCTCATCTCAACTTCTCAGCTGTTGTTGACTTGACAGTTTATTGAACAGAAATACTTTTTAAGAAAAAAAAAAGTACCACTGTTTGTTCCCGATGTGGTAGACTATTCGCTCAAAGGTATAAAGGTGAAAACAGTGGGTGTTGACAGGCCCCTTAGAAGTAACAGGTTAATTGCAGATTGAATTTTGAATGACTCAGAAAAATTGCTACTGAACAGGTTGTAAACAATAAAGTGCACCATAGAATAACGGCACCAGACATTGGTTTTGCTCATAAATCACCTGATGTGTGATCGGGTGACAACTTTCAGATTTGCTTTGTGATCGAAAAGAAATTATGAACGTCGTTGTGGCGATATTTGCAGTAGCAAAATGTAGAACAACCGGTTTCAACCAGTATGTACAGTTTCATTCTTTTTCCGGGATACGCCATGAACCCAATCCTCTCAGAATTTTTGCGGTGCTTGGATGCAACAAATGAGAAATGGAACAGAAGACAGCCCGATACTGGCGTAATACTGTACAAGTCTGCGAAAGTATGTTACCTTTCTACGTCAGAGGATTTCAGTGGCAAAACAGCTTTACCACTGCGTTGTACTTCAACGGGGTGTGTAGCGATGACATCACCAACCTGCAATGGATCGCATCTGTTTTGAGGTCTCAAAGAAGGCAACACTTTTTTCTCAAGGAAATCACCAAGAGCAAAGCGAAAAAATATAAATCGATGTTTTAGTGGAGACCGGAATGAAAAAAACAAGTTTCTGGGTTTCATTTTGCATTTGCAGCCCATCTCATTGAGCTGCATAACCTTACTTGTTTATGTGCTTCACAATGATGTATGTGGAAGTAACTGCTGACGCTTAATTGTATAGTGGCCACTAACATTTACGACGGAAAATAAGCCTGGCTAATTCAAAACTCCGATAATATCACGGTGTTTCCAAAATAAAACGTCATCCATCACTCACGTCCCCATTAAGCAGTCGCTCCCTGACCACAACCTTCACAACCTGTGGTTCAGGCAGAGGTTCGTCGATGTGTAGATACACGTGCAAGTAGGCCTGAAAATGGTGATTGTAAAGTGAAGCGATAGGTTACCGTAGCGAGTATCTAACCAACCTCGGCAACTTTTCGTACCATCGTAGTGAGTGAGACCGGAAACCGTGCAACCAACATATCGGGATCGAAGCCTTCTGAAGAGCTTGAACAATCTTTGGACAGTAATCGTTCTGTGGAACGTCAGGATCGTACCTGATGGATCAACGGCCATGATAAAAGTTTTTTCTTGAGAATCTTGTTCGACTTTCTCGTTCATTTCTCCCAGACCTTCAATCATTTCCTCGATAGTAGATCTCGGAAGTTCAATGGAGTCAACGTTCGGAGGCTCCTGCATGCCCATCGAATTCAGCAAACGCATCTGTAAAATTATAAATAAACCTGTAATAACAATAATTTCTGTTTTACTCATAAGTGATATAGGTTCCCACACTAAATCTACTATCTCCCACATACACAAATGATTACAAGTAGTTCAGTTTTCCATGAAAATTTGAATTGAATCATTAGCATGGCACATAAAAAAAGCTATAAAATTCAGTAGATAACTACTTCCTGCTGCATCTTTACAATGGGCTTGTAATTAGTCAGAGTGGCCCGAAGTGCAAAGGAATAATCTTTTGGCTTAGCTCAAACTACGCACATATCTGACTCAAGTTCTTAGAAAATCCGAGGAATATTCTAGAAAATCCTCTCAAATCTACATCATTCCTAAATCAATCTCATATAAAACGCATGCCTCCAAAAGTGTAATAGGCTTTGATAGCAGCACAAAAAAAGGTGTTCAACAGAGTATGTTCCATAGGCTTTCAGCATCAAAAAAGTAATATTTTTCAAAATCATGATTTAGCAAAAAAAGCGCAGACCAAAATTTTCCAGCGCAATGAGGATTTTCATGCTCGTTTCCAAAAGAAGTCATGGGTGAGCATCGGTGACTGCAGCCGCACAGCGCCATCAATTGTTAAAGTCGCTGGTAAAATCGTAGGTATCATCAAAAATCAACCAATTACTTCTACATTTTTACATTTACAACTTACACTTTTCAGGAAGCCTCGATGTTGTACCAACCTTTGAATGGTAGTTTAGCGTGACATCGAGAAAGTATGTTCAATTAGCTTACTATCCCCTTGAAAACTGGTATTTTCAGTGGTTCCAGACGTTGCAGGTGGGTAGCGCACTGGTACGTTGCAATTAAATAAAGCAGAAATATGCAGGATAAATTTAGCCCTTCTACCTAACAGCCAGCGGTCCTGATCATTAGACCAAGTTGATTACACACCAATATGGCTTACCTTTATTTCTTCAAGTCGGAGCTTTGCCATCTCGTCTAAACAGATATCACTACAGTTGTGCGTATGGACGTCGGTGAAGAGGACCGTGGCGGTGAGCATAAGGCTAAGCACACGTCGCCTAATCGTCATAGTGTCTTCAGAAGGTTTCTGAGACTCAAGAACAACACCACCTGAACACCACGATGGAGTGTGCTACACTGCGCACGGTACAGACGGCCTACAAATCCTCTTGGCTTTTCGTCATGTATGTATTACGTAGCTCCGCCTTTTGTACCGCCCATTCCAGGTGAAGTCTCTGTGCTTCCTTAGGGGATGTAGAGTGGCTGCGATTGTGTGCATATGTAGGCAGAGAACACATTTATGGGCGGAGAGACATGTCCTACAACGGGTAGGTTGAGTACAAGACCACACGCAACCTATGACATCAGAGAATCAGAACTGAGAGACAAGCAAGCCGAGTAGAACCGTAGCTGTTCATCGAGATCCCATTGCTCTGTACTGGTCATGATTTCGGAAACTGCACCATTTGCTGATGTCCCAGCCCATTTTACCATCACCTTCACTGAAAAATCGTGGTGCATTCGCTTTGAAAGGTTCCTGAGAAAAAAAAAAGAAAGGAGAACAGTTCAGTCTCACGAATGAGTCTGGGATGCTCAAGAGAGTAAACTCAGAAGGTGGCAAGAGAAGTAGCTTCGACTACGACAGTAAAACTCGAAGAATTTTGTTCTGCTTCAATTCTGGAAAGTTCTTCGTTGACTACTTTCTATAGAATAAATAAAGCCTTTACAATGGATTCGTAAGCCGTGAGAATGTACATCATTATCGTTTGGCAATGAGATAAATGATAATGGTGTACATTGTAATTAATATATGACGTCCTAAGGGACTCTTTTCTTTGTGAAGAAGAGAGTGAAATGGCAATAATGAAAGTTTTCGAATCGTATTAAGCATTCCTGCCAGATAGCTTTCGAAAGTAAAATTTTTCATTCTCATTTAATTCACAGTTTCATCATTTCGCCACGTTCAAAGCGTGATTATGGCTTAAAGTTAAGATTTGCAATCATCAAATCAAATGCTTCCCATAGTCTAAGGCTTTTGACCTCATGTGTCGAACGCTGCTGGGAAGAACCCGTTGACATTAATGGTGAACTCATCGAAGCTTTCATTGAGGGCACAGAATTGGCAGAATTGAGAGACGCCCAGTTGAATCGGTTTTGTGTAAGCGATTCTCCGCCATGCGGTAGTCACGGACTAGTTGCCTCATTGTTGCAGCTCTAGCGTTCTTCATACAGCTAAATCGGTATGCAATGGATTGGCATGATCCTACTGTTACCTCTTTTGTTCCTGTGTGCTTTAATCGCTCCGCTGCTTCTGCTCCATTCCGCTACATTCCCTCAAGCACGACGTCGCTCTCGCCGCGAAGCGTCCATTTCGATTGAACTGCACCGTAATCGTCAAACCGCCCACAGGATCATTCCATTGGGAAAACCTTGGTTTTCGCAACAATTCACAAACTAACGACCAAAATTAATGCAGAAACTCTTCTGACTCATCCGGAATGATGATAGGACTCATGCCTAGGTGAAGCTATTGCTCATCCTAAGACCGTTACCTGAAGAAAGGGCTGATGCTCCAGGCCATCATTGGAATCGGTGGTGGTTGAGGGCTTACACACGACACTGAAAGTGCTAAAGAAGGCATTGTAATTACTCGCAGATCAAAAGCTCTGAGCCATGACTGGACCTGCGAAAATACGGAAAGCAGAGTCTAGCAAAAATTGAAGATCCACTGACCGAATTTGGCAGAAGAGGTCAGCAGCTCTTCTATCAAATTCAGTCTGAGGAACTTCAAACTGGAATGTCTTACAACGCCGAAGGTTCAACAAGGAATGACATCAGAATGAATAAATTCCTTCACCTCCAAAAATATCCCATAATTAAAAATGAACTAAATTTTAAAAATATAAAAAGAAAGAGGTAAGTAAGCGGAAATTCCTTTTCAAACAGCAGCCAAACTTTCCTGGCGATTTTCGTTACTATTGGAATGCTTACTAACATTATCTGCTATGTTTACAAAAATCTTTGGACTCTCTCCAAATCGGTGATTTCGCCTCGATAACGTCCATTTCACCTGTAACCTTTTTACAATTTAAAAAGCCCATGCATATCAATAGTTTACTGGGATTGCATGTTCTTGTCTATCTTCGGATTTGATTCTATCAATCTTCGCTGCAACCTGGAAAGTCGGCCAGATTTCGAGTTCATTTCCTTCAGTGTGGGATATCGCGAAAGATTCGTATAATTTGTATGCATACCAGATTAAAGGCCCGTCACACCATGTCATCATATAGTTTAATCTTAAATATCATTCAGATTATTAACGTACTGGCTGATTAAAGATTCGGGAAAACAGAGGTCTAGCATCATCTCATCAAATCAATCAAAACAGCTAAAGCCTGCAATAATAAAGGACCCGAAGGGGAGTGGCTATTATCGAAATTTTGATGAACAATTACATTATCGTGATGTTTCGGCTAAAGCCTATCGTGATGTGATGGTGACATTATCGTGATGTTTCGGCTAAAGCCTCCCAGAGATCATACAACGGGTGTGGAGCAGTAGGAACGAAATGGTCGCGCGCGGCGAAAGCCACGTCACGCGCGAAGGAATGTAGGAGAAGGCAGCAGCAAGTGAGAACTACAGGAACAAAAGAACTAACAGTAGAATCATGCTATAAGTATTAATCGCATAGCGATTATAAAGCGAGTATAAAGAACGCTAGAGTCGTTATAACGAGGCAAATGGTCCGCGACAGCAGCGTGCGGCGGATCGATTACGCAAAACCGTTCCTACTCCCCGTCCCCTATGATCGCTCTTTTCATGAAGTCAACAGCTGACAAACCATGAAGTAAATTTCGCGATGAGACCAAATTCATCATCTCGTGAAAAGCTTCCTAGAATAGTTCACAAAAAGTTGCATGACACACATAAAAACTTTTAGGACCTGAAAATATGTATGATCGTGGTATATTCTACAAGACCTGAAAATAGGTAGGAGCTCCTGATCTGTGATTTATACGACCAAGCGCCCAAACGCTAGGTTAGTTGCAAATTCCCGGAAATTCGAGCTTTGAAAAATTTCGAAAATTGAAAAATCAGCGATGATTATTATCATCAATGGTGTCGCATTGGTCCCTTGTTGTTCACATAGAGTGAGACGTAATTTGGTGGAACCGCGGAAGGTTGGTCACTTCTCGTGCTTTCAGTGGGCCATGTCTCGTTGCAGCAACTCCCGGAAACTCAAACTTCTGAAACTTTTCGAAGTCCGAGTTTTCGGGAGTTGTTGCAACTAGCCTAGCGCGTTTGGGTCGTTTGGTCGGGTTAGTCACAGATCAGAAGCTCCCAACAACTTCCAGGTCTTGAAGACGAAGATTCAATCGAAACGTTGACCAATAAAGCTTTTCAGCCATAACAAAGCAGAGCAGTATAAAACATTATGTAAAATGCCCAGGTTTTATGAAGGTGGAAGTTACTACCAAATTTTATTCTTTACATCTTTTCATGCAAGGCACTTGGATGCTCTTCACTTATCGCGAGACTATCGTACCTCTTATTCGACCCAAGTAACGAAATGGATTTGTTCAAAAGCACACAAGCACCGAAGTAACTCATTTTCATTATAAAGTTGTCCACCGATTCCTGAGAAATACTGGTGTTATGCTACCACAGAGATCAAATTCAATACCCTGTTTAGTCGTGATACAGGATCCCATCGTTTCAACCCACGCAGCGTTGAAGTACGCTAAGATTGAATTTGCTGACATAATCGTCGGCTTTGAGCCAGTTGATAAGATGGCTGGTTTTTAATACTGACCGATATATTTGGGCTGCAGGAATTTCGTTCACAAGCCGGACGGCAGAGGCGTAACGCCGCAAGAGTCCATCGTCTACTACTCAGGCACGACGGCGCCCTCGTCCTAGGGCTGAGTCCTGGACATTTGGATTAGCAAATTCGTAAAACTTAATCTGGGAGGTACGCTGACTCTATGAAAGGGATACCTTCGTGTCAGCCACATACATGAGGCGTTTTCAAAGCACTTGGATACGATATTTGCTTTCAGTGGACCATGTCTCGTTGCAGCACAATTTCAGCCAAATCCCAAAGGCACGTACCTATAAAAGTCTCAGCAAGTTTCGCGAAGTGGAATCTCAAAGGATATATAATGAAATTAAACAGCGGAATATTTGATGTACAGGGTGTCCCAAAATTGACAGCGCCAAAACTTCTAATGTAGATATAATTTATCAGATTCACTTCATTCGCTTCTAATTAGTCGCACAAGCAGGTTTCCAAGCAATGTGCTCAGTTACTAAAGTGGGACTTTGAATATCTTTCGGATGGCGGAGACCCATTCAATACCACTTGCAATCATTAGCATGCGAGAGACGGAAGGTCAGTATGATATTCCTTGTGATTCCTATAGTAGCCGTACAGAGGCAACTGAACATTACAGAGAATATTCGATCGGAGACAATCAGGAAGCGATAGAAAGACCAGCGTTCCCAAGGATAGGACTATTGAAATGGTCCGTTTGCAAGTCGATCGTGATCTTGGTTAACCCATCAAAGAACGTCAAAGGAGCTGGAATTATCGAAGTTGTCGGTGGAGCGGATTGTCAAGTAGAGACTTCATTGACGTTCCTGTCGTATGCAGAAATATCGCTTCATTTTTGACTCCAAGAGACAGTGTAGGTCCAAAAAATGCAGAGAGTTGCTAACTCATTTGAGTGGAAACACGCATCCTCTGTTCGTTTCCTCAGACGAGAAAATTCGGACGATCTAGGCAATCTTTAACATAGAGAATGGATCCCGAACAAATGGAATGCGTGCTGGATAGAAACATCGAAAGTGCTAGCTTTCAAGGAAAAGTTGTTATAAGAACAGCAAAGAGATGTTGAGGGACCCACGGGGAAAGGCAAGAGACCGTAGGTTTCGTCTGATTAGCGAAGGGGACTGGGCATCCTGCTTTCCAGATCTTAACTCACTTGACGTATGGTCCCTGATTAAAAAGGAACCTGTCGCTTCTGCAGACCCAGTTTGGAGTCACAGAAAACAAGACTTAAAAACGGA